CGACCCTGGGGTCTTCAGGAGCATCAGCTAGCGAGGCCTCTTATGTCACTGCATCTCACCACTGACAAACGACAGTTGAGCAGACAGCCTCCTTTCCGTAATTTCTAGTTCTGCATGCGTCCCGTGAGTTATCTGCTTGGAGGAAGCGGGTAGGAGGTGACGGTTTACAAGCAGACCCCCTAAGGAAGGGACCCTTTGGTTGGTGGGGTGTCTCTGTAGTGATGGCACCCACTGCCTGGCTCTGTGATCCATCTCTCCTGTCTCCACACCCGGCCCAGGTTTCTTTGGGGGTGGGGGGCACTCAGTGGTACCAATCAGTATCCTCTAGCCAGACCAGAACTTGTTACAATTCCCTTTGGCCGGCTCAGCTCCCTGCTCCCTTTGCCTGGAATGTCTCCCTTCCCAGGACTCCTTGCCACAGGCCCAACTTGTTTTCTCCCTTCAGGGCTCAGGGGAAAGGAGGCATCTACCGCCTCTTCCAGGAAGGCTTCCTTGACTTGTGAGGGATCCCTCCCCTGGGATCCCCCCACGGGTGCTTATCAAGACGGCGAGTCATGTCTTCTACTCCATTCATTCCACATTCACGGGATCTCATCCGGAGCCAGGTTCCAGGCCGCTCTCTGCCGGCGGCACAGTGGAGCAGGCAGGATGGCCCCCAGCCCCAGTGTTCACACCCTCTGGACTGTGACTCCTTCCCTCTTTGGGGGTGCCAATCCCATTTTCTGGGGCCTGGGTGCCCAAGACTGTGAGGTCCTCAAGGGCAGTCTGCCCTGCTCTTGCCTGGCACAGAGCGGTCCTGGTGCCTGTACCCTGGGTGGGAGGGAGGACGGGATGACAGCTGGGCTGGGCCATGCCTCAGTGCCGATGCGGCGAGGGGCAGAGGTGAGGGCGCTCCTGGGACTGGTGGCACTTGCCACAGCCGAGGCTCATGACCTCCCTGCTAAGCCTGACTCCCATGCCGAGCCACTGCCTACTGTGCCCAGATGGTGTGGCCATGAGCAAAGGCTGTCCCAGGCCCCTGACCACCACGGGCCAGCAGTTTGGCATCCTGAGCGCCATCTCCCCACCCGGGAATCTTCCAACCCCCCTGCAGTGGATGCTCCCTCGGACTTCATTCTGCAGAGGGGCATCCCGAGGTTTGGGGGCGGAAGACCCCCGCTCCCCCCCAAGCTCAGGCCAGGAGCCAGCACTCAAACCCAGGGCAGAGGCCCTGGAGTCGTGCCCATCTCTGCCAGGGCTGTTTGCCAAACTCTCCTCCAATGTTCTCTCCTCTGCCGGAAGTGTGGCTGGGGTTCGAGGGACAAATTTCGGTGTCAGCAAGTCCCTGTTGTGCCTGTTTCCCAGGTATGCCCACCCTGAGAGGCACCTTGCCCTGAGCAAGCAGCTCCGCATGCATCCTCAGACTGCCTGGGTTAAGGTCCCCTGGTTGGTGAGGCTGGGCTGTGTGTGTGTGTGTGTGTGTGTGCAACGCTTCTCAGTGTCCAGGTTACTAGCTCTCTATCAGGCTCTCCCCCTCCTTCCACCTCGTCCTGCCCACTGGGGGAGAGGCAGGGTCCAAGAGTGGGAGAGGGGCTTGCAGCAAGCTGCAACTGGTCCGAGGAGGGACAGACGGGTGAGCAGGGGATGACGGAGCTTGGAGATGAAACAGGCCACTCAGCAGAGGAGAATGACTCTTCGGAGGCCACCTTAAAGAAGCAGCACTGTTCACTTTTATAGGCTGCTTTACGTGCCTTGCAAAGAAATCTGCCCAAGATAATAAGGGGGGGGCCATGGGGGAGTGTCCTTTGTGGTTTGCAGCCCAGCTGAGTCTGCTCAGGGACTGATTCCCCTGCCCTCAGCCTCGGCAGAGCAAGGGGTGCAGCCTGGGCTCTGCAGGACAGAGGCGGAAGTATAGGAAATACCCACCTCCCCAGGGTGGCGTGAGGGGTCAGGAGACTTGAGTTCAAGACCCTCTTCTGCCACTCACCTAAGCCCCCACTGGGGGACCTGGGGCTTGTTCTCTGGATGACCTGCAGTACCTGGCCCAGGATCTGACTCCCCTGGAAATCCTGGCCAGGGGAAGGATGGGGGTGGGTGGGGGGCCTGACAATGGTGAGACATTCCTAGAGGGGCCTCCACTGCTGACCTAAGTCCCCAGCCTCCAGCAGAGGTGGTGCTAGGAGGGCAGACGGACTCAGACTGAAAGTCACGCTGGGAACAGTCCTGCCCACCCTCCGCCTTCCTTGTTTTCTAAGGGGCTGGCGGCA